GGAATCATTTGAAGGATGGTGCTTTATGATAATTAAGTAGATTTTTGCAAGAGGCGCCATCTAGACGTCAACCTTATAAACTTTTCAGCCGACCTGTTATTAGCGATAGCTTTTTCCAAGGAGTCGGCTCCCCGTAAAAGCATCTTTTCTCTTAGATTATTATTCTTGATGCCTCTCAAGAACGCACGACGAGCCATTCTATCGTGTTCCTCTTTTTGTTCTTCCGTCAAATGATTATAAACGGAATTTTTTTCTCTCAAGAGTTTTCTTGTTCTCTCTATGCAGCCCGAAATTGTTTCATCTTTTTCCTGGCGTAAATTTTCAATCTGACTTGTCAACACCTCTTTATTAGCCAAATAAGAGAAATGTCTAAGCAATTTTTTCTTAATAAAATTCCAATTCAAATTATTCATATCTTCGACTATTTTCCGTGCTTCACCATGAAGTTGCATCATTAATTGTTCATAAAATTCACGTTCCTCGGCATCATTTGCCCGAGAACAAAATAATGTATCCGCCGTATCAATAAATTCAGAAAGTTCTTTAAATGAATCTACGTTCAATTTTTTCAAATTGTTCAACCGTCTTAAATACGATTTTCTTGGCTCATTGGCCTGATCCATCTGGGAATAATTTTGATTAGCTAAAAAATTCTGATATTGAGGATCATATTGAGGATTATATTTTGGATTATATTGTGGATGAAATTGTCGCTCATTATTTGGTACATCAATATTTGTCTGTCCCCGTGAAACGTTCTGTACATATGGATCATGCTGTAATCCGATATGGGCCCCATCATATTGATAAGAATTGCCCATAAAAGGATTAATAACATTTGCTGTAGGCTGAAAATGCACATTTCTATTCACGTTTTCAGGAATTGCTTGGAAATTATCGTGTCTATTACTTTGTATGTTAGAATATTCTTCTCGGTTTTCAATGTTCATAGGCTTTTCTTTGCTCACTTTTTTCATTCTTGACAACATACGAGACGGTGTTGGGTTGTAACCGCCAAATTTACCCAGAATTGGAGTATAATTGGATTCAATTTCAAATAAATTTTGACGTTTTATTTGTTCATCAAAAACATTGGCATTCAGAATATCGTTATTATTATCACTCTCTTCCGAAATATCTGAGAGCAATTGACTTTCACGCGGTATATAACAAGTTTTACTGGGTTTGGTTTCTTAATAGCTCCCGTTGCTACTCGTTTTTCAAGTTCCGTATTATAATAATTCTCTTCTGAAAATTTCTTTATTTGTGCTTCAAATTTCTCCTTTTCCCGTTTTTGCCTCTCGAGCCGCTCTTTACGTTCAGCGGGAAGCTCGTAATTTGGAGGAAATTCAAATTCGTTTTGGCGTGAAGCCGAAATTCTCGGACCCAAGGCCGTAGTTAGCCCCGTGTGAGCCGGTTTTGGAGTCGAAGTAGAAAATGGAAAAGGGATATTTGAAATTTGGTCTGCCCCAGATACTTCTGGCAAATTTTCAACTGTATCTTTTTGATTATTTTTCCCAATGTCACTCTGAACCGTCGGAGTGGTTTTTCCACCCCTGTTCACTCAAGTATTACTTAAATGAAACAGTAATTTTAATTGAATTAAGGTTTTAGCTTTATTACACTTGCTCATCACAAAATCAACTGCTCTTATTAACTAAATCTACCGCTTTTATATTCATTTAGAATTGACATGTTCATTAAAATATAAACAAGACGTGCACTTTTATCTAAATACAATTGAAAACTACAAGACGTGCACTTTAATCTAAATACAATTGAAATCGTGCAATTTAAACTGTTATTCATGGACATGCTGACGATAAAATATTATGTTGATGCACTAAAGTTGCCAAAATAATAAACATTTAATTTGATGCATCGACATCTTGGGGGCCGACACGCTGTTGATATGGTACTATGTAATCTGGTGTTGAATAGCGATCTCCGCCTGGTGAATTTGTGTAGCCATAATAAGGTGAAACGTAGCCTGGTGTCCAATAGCCGTCTGGTTCTGTGATTTGGCTTGTTGTTGGAGTTTCGTTCTCGTCTTTAGTTAAATCGATGATTGGGGTTTTTGCTCTGGTTTCTTCGTCGGTTGTTAAATCTATCACGTCTCCGTTGATATCATTTTTGCGTTTTTGTTTCACTTCTATTGTTTCTTCCACTATTTCTTCAATGCTTTCTATGAATTTGTATAATTTGTTGTTGTAAGGCACGAATACAATTCTTTTATAAAATAACTTTGTTGCGCTCATGATTGACACAGTTAATATGATCACTTCACCGAATTAACGCTGGTTAAAATTACGGTTTTTTGACTGGTTTTATTTTGCAAAATTGTCGATGTAAAGCAACGATGATCGAATAATGAATGAATTAATTTAATTTAAACCATGATATATATATCAAAATTTTGTTTATCTTATGGACATGGTGCCACCAATTCTTTGTAAATGTATATACTGCTCATTACAAACAGGAAGAAAATTACATATATAGCGATATAATGATGCCAGTGATGCATCATCAGCTGTTTGTCTCTGCCGGTGAGCGATTCCAAGTCTTTTTTTATTTTATTCACATTGTTGTGAAATGTGATGCTTCCCGCCACTTGATGCAATTGTATCTGCGTCTGTTGCTTTGCATTTGTTATGATATGTTTTTCTGTCATCAACTTCTGGCTATTTGTTATTATTTCGCAATTCTCGTTCGTCTCTACTGTACCAGTGCCATTTATTACTGCATCGATTTTGCTTTTGTTGCAGATTATACTGATATTTTTTGCTTCGTTCACATGATACATCCATTTGTTTGATGCTACTTTTTTCCATTCGTCATTTTTTGCCTGTGTATATGAGCAATTCGTCTCTGTTTTGTTCATGAAAAGATTATAGATGCACACATTTGCTTTTTCCTTGAATAGAAGTGGACCATTTAATTTGCAAAACTGTCTGTTTTCATGCTCAATACATTCTTCTTCGTTGTTTGGTAAATATATCGTTTCTTCATCGTGCCAAAACTCCCGTTCAATAGAAGCGACTACAAATTGACTTTCATGCATGAATGGTGTGGGTGTTGCTTTCTCACATTGCAGTTCATTCGTGCTGATTAATGAAATTTTGATTATATTTACGATTGAATCCGGTGTTAATACAGTTTCCACCGATGCCAATTTGTATATAGCAAGTATTTCTTCCGTGATTAAACGCACATTCGCTGGCAAATTCTTCTTTATTTTTTCAGTTTGTTGTTTTAGTACGTACGGTGCGATCCATTCCGGTTGTAACTTTACTTGTTTTTCTCTCAATGCATTAAAAATGTTCTTTTGCCTGTTATGAAACTCTAGCGTTGTAAACAATGTATACATGGTGGAATATTGCTCATCGCTTTCGGTCTCTATTATGGTCATGTCATCGTTTACCAGTTTTAAAACCGATATTTGTTCTTCTATCATTTCATTCACTTGTTTTTCCGATGTGTCTGGACTCGTGAATGATTTCATTATTTTTTCTCCTATTACTCCCACAAACGATCCAAGTAATGAATACCAAAAAGCTGCGTTTCTTTTCACTATTTTATTTAGATTCGTTCGAATTAAACTATGCATTGTGCGAATTTCCACCATTTTGTTGTTGACTTCATCTACCATTTGTTTACAAGCGGTGCCATTACCCAATGAGGAAAACGTTACAGTTGTACACATTTTGTGCACGGCCAATGTAATTTTTCCATAAGCTGTGCACAAAATGTGTACAACTGTAACGTTTTCTTCATTGGGTGCTTTTTTCACATTGCTTCTCCAACATTGCAAAGTTGTTTTCAATCGTTTCAAAGTCATTGTGATATCCATCTAAATCTGTGTATGTAATCAATTTCCAATCTCCATTTATGACCGAAATATTCTCGCACCGTTTGAATTTAGCACATTTTTTCTCGTTAAATTGTGTTATTTCGTAATGTTGATCTGCACTAGCGTGTGGTATGAGTGAAACACACGCTAGTAATGCGACGCAAGCGCAAAACAATACTTTACTTGTAGATTTACGTTTCACGCCGTTTTTTTTTTGCTGCGAGTTTTTATCGACCGTTGCGTTGTTTGAAGACTGATATTTATGTTTATGTTGATGCCTGGTTTTATTTATTGTAGATTTTTCATTCAGCTTATTATTTTTTTTTTCTTTTTTTTTCTCGTCGTTCATTTGATGTAAATCGACATGTTGATATGCTGTATTCGCTGTATTATTCGTTTCCAAAAGTGCTTGTGCATGCTCAGCTATATCTTTCTCAATTGGTAACTTCGCCAATTTTACTATTGGTCTTTTGTATGTTTTATTTTTTGCCGCAACATCCACAACCCTTACTAGGCCATCATTTCCCGGATATACTCTCACTACACGACCCAATGGCCAATTTAGAGGCGCAGTGTTATCCTCTTTAAGAAGCACCATATCTCCCTTTTTTAGATTTTCTTGCTCATCCTTCCATTTTGACCGGATTTGTAGATTTGAAATATATTCGTTTGACCATTTATTCCAAAATTCCTGTCTCATTCTGCTACACAGTTGCCATCTCGATAGTCTGCCTATGTTTTCTTCCAACAAATTTGGCTCAACCGGTGCTGTTAACGCACTGCCAACCAGAAAATGTCCCGGAGTAAGTATGTCGAGATCGTCTGGGTTCTCAGATAGTGGGGATATCGGTCTTGAATTTAGAATTGTCTCAATCTGAGTTAACACAGTTGAGAGCTCTTCATATGTTAGGACCATATCTCCAACTGTTCGTTTTAAATGATGTTTTATTGAGCCTACTCCTCGTTCCCAAATTCCACCCATCCATGGACTGATACTAGGATTAAAATGAAACTTCGTATTCATCATTGATAGATTTTCTTTAATGTCCATATTGAAATCGTTCATTGCTTCTTCGCTTTCCAATTTTAAAATGTTATTTGCTCCGACAAAATTTGTACCATTATCGCAGAACAAATGTAAGACATTACCACGGCGACCAACCAATCTTTTAAATGCCGCAATGAATGCTTCTGATGTTAGATCTACTACAATTTCAATGTGGATTGCTCGTGTTGATAAACATATGAATATAACTATGTAGCCCTTTTGTGTTTTCACTCCTCTTTTTGCCATCATCCGAAAATGAATTGGACCACATAAATCTGTGCCAGTGTATGTGAACGCCTTTTCTACTATTTTCGTTCTTGCTGCTGGTAGATTCCCCATCAACTGCCATGCGTTTTGCTTTCTGAGACGGTGACATACTACACATTTGTTTATGTATGTCTTAATTGCGCGCTTCGCCGATGTAATCCAATATTCGTGTCGTATTTGACATAAGGTTAACTGATTTCCTCCATGCATTGTTTTTTTGTGCGCATCTCGTATAATCAGCGTAGTCAAATGGCATCCATATGGAATGATTATTGGGTGTTTTTTATTGTAGCTGAATTCAGAATTTTCTAGCCGTCCTCCAACTCGTAACAAATTGTTTTCATCCAAAAATGGATTTAAACTTAAAATTTTGCTATCTTTTGGAAGTGATTGTTTTTCTTGCAATTTTTGTATCTCCTTTTCAAAATGTTTGTTCTGGAATATTTTTATCAGATGTATCTTAGCTTCCGATAATTCTTCTGTTTCTAGAACCTGTTTTTTTATTGCATCATGCGCGTCGTTTGTACACAACACTTTTTTCAGCTCTCTTTTGCTTTTCAGTTTTTTTATGAATCTCATGCAGAATGCAATAACTCTTATTGTGTGATCCAACGTTGAATATTTACTAATATAATCTGTATCGATTGTTGCATAGAATATTTTTGTTTTTGGTTTCTTTTTTTCCAAATCCGTGTCATATGGCTGAATTTTGTAAATGTTTTCGGTGCAATTTTCTTCATTCAAAAGCACTGACGGACCGTGCCACCATAATGTATTGTTCATTAGTTGTGTTGGTAGTAACCCGCGCGATGCGAAGTCAGCTGGGTTTGCCTTTGTGTTGATATAATGCCATTGATGTTTTTCGCTGTATTCGAGTATTCTGGAAACACGGTTTGCTACAAATGTTTTCCATCTGCTGATGTCACCATTTATCCATGCCAACACGATTTCACTGTCTGAGTAAAAATGTGTTCCGAATGTTTTCAATTTTAACGATTTTTTCACCGTGTTCATCAATTTCGCGACCAAAACAGCCGCACAAAGTTCCAACCGTGGTAGCGTTAGTTTTTTTATTGGCGCCACCTTTGTTTTGGCCGCTACTAGATTTACGTAGATTTCACCGTCCTTGTATACTTTCATATAAACACATGCTCCCATCGCAGCTTCACTTGCATCCGAAAATCCATGCAACTCTATTTTTGTTGTATTGCTACACTCTAGCCAACGCTTTGGTTTGATGTTTTTGATTAAAGGTAACTCTTCTTTTAATGCATTCCACTTTGTCGCGATTTGTTCACTCACTTCTTCGTCCCAATCACATTGTTCTTTCCAAATTTCTTGCATTAAAATTTTGTTATATATTGTCACTGGAGACATTAGTCCCAATGGGTCGTAAATGGTAGTGATTTGAGACAAAATTGCTCTTTTTGTATATTTTGATGCATTTCTTTCAATGTCCATTTTAAAACCAATTTTATCGACCCCAAAGAACCATTTGAGACCAAGTGTTGACACATACTTATAGCCGCCGAGTTCCTTTGTTTTCAGCTCGATTTCATCTTCTGGAATACTCTCCAAAAGTTCTTCAGAGTTTGATGCCCATTTTTTCAGTGGGAAACCTCCTTGTTGTAGTACATGCGTTATTTCTGCTCTTCTTTGTATCGCTTCTTCCACCGTGTCGCAACCGCTGCTAACATCGTCCATATACGAGTCATTCAAAATGATACTGCATGCCTCAGGAAAATTTTCCATTTCGTTTTTTGCATGGTGCTGTACAGTTGCCACTGCTATGAAAGGCGAGATATTTACACCGAATGTAACCGTAGTGAGTTGATAGTCTTCAATAGGTTTTTCCACACTATCTCTCCATAGAATCTTGTGAAACGGCTGATCTTGTTCGTCTAGTTTTACGTGCAAATACATTTTCTCTATATCTGCCGTGAACGCTACTGCATGTGTACGGAATCGGATTAGAATATTGAACAGATCCTCTTGTAATTTAGGGCCTGGTCTGAGTAAATCATTCAATGCAACTCCGTTTGAAGTTTTTCTGCTCGCGTCAAAAACTGGACGTACTTTCGTTGTTGTACTGTCTTTCATCACTGGATGGTGTGGTAAATAACAGTGTGGTTCGCTTCTATTATTTACGCATTTGACCATGTAGCCATTCTTAATTGATTCATTAATATATGCTGTGTATGCTTCTTTCAATGTTTTATCTTTTTCAAATTTTTTCTCCATTTGGAATAATCGAGCCATTGCCATTCTTCGTGAATCACCCAACATCGTGGCTGGATCGCCTCTAAACGGCAACGACGCGATATAAGCTCCATCAACATCCCTTCTTATTGAGTTGTTGAAATAATCAACACAACTTTGCTCGTCGGGAGTTAGCATTTCTTCCTCGGAAATTTCCTCCATTTCCCAAAATTTCTGTAGCTTTTCGTCCATTTCGTTCACAGTACAGGTCATACAAAGTGCTTCATTGAACTCATTTCTTTGTTTGTTTACTGGCCCTGAAATAATCCACCCCAGCTCAGTTTCTTGTAATACAAAAGATTTATCACTTGCTTTTATCATACCGGATAAAATTATTTCACTGTAAACATTGGCACCAAGAATCATGTCAATTTTCTCTGATTTGTGGAAGTTTGGATCGGCCATCACTAATTCATCTGTGTCTATGAACGAATTATCAAAGTCATTGTTTGGTAACATTGTAGTAAGCTTTTTCAATACAATTGCCGTGAGTTTAGTGCAGAAAGACGTCGGGTATCTGGATCCGATTTCAATTGCCACCGTGCCTTTCGCTGATTCAACACTGCCGGCAATGCCACTGATGTTTATGTTATTTTTCTTTATATTTAATTTCAATCGTTTCACTATTTTTTCGCTAATGAACGATGTCATTGAGCCTTGGTCAATTAAAACACGTATAGTTTCGGACCAACCGCACATCATTCTGATCCGAATCAAGGCTGTTGCGAGTAAAGTGTTCATGTTATTTTCATCATGTGTTGTTTCACAAATTACCGATTTGTGCTCTGTTGTTGCCACATATGATTTTTTTTGTTGATCTTTTGAATGATGCGCGAATTTCTCGTATTTTTTTTCATGTTTGTCTGATTTTTCATTGTCCATATGTAATAAACCGTTGTGACGCTTATCACACTGTGGGCACATTTTCTTAAACTTGCATTCCAGAGCCGTATGTTTTGGTGTACCCCTAAGGCATAGTAAACAGGGCGATTTTTGTTTGACTATCTCGCGACGTTCATTCACTGATAGAGCTTTAAATTTTACACACATAAAAATCGCATGATTCTCATTGCAATTTGGACATTTTTCTTTCACTTGTTTTTCACTACTTCTGCTATTAACTTCTACTGCTTGTAATACTTTGCACCTTTTATGAAGAAATTCGAAGAATTCTGATAATTTTTTATCTTCATCTGGATCTTCACGCGACTGTTCGTAAATCTTACGTGTTTCTGTCGGTAATTTTTTCATTAGTAAATACATCAAAATTTGCTCTGCAGAGATTTCATTTAGTAGTTCGACGCATTCTTTACTTTTGTCATATTATTTAATAAGCTCATTTGATGATTCAAATCGCATGTCTGGAATTTTTAACAATAATTCCAAGTGAGCTTCTCTTATCGCACGTTTATCTTCAAAACGTTCTGTTAATATTTTCCATGCAGCCTCTAGCTTATTATCCATGATGCCCATATTTACGATTAAGTTTGCAGCTTCACCCTTCACTGTAGTTTTTAGATACTGCATTTTTTGGCATTCTGTCAATGTTTTGTTCTCCATTACCATTGACTTGAACAAGCCGCTGTACGTTGGCCACATTTTTCTTGACCCATTGAAGAATGGTATTTCAATTGGTTTCAATTTCAGTTGACCCGACGTAGATTCCTTTTTTTAATTGCTTGTTTCTTCTAACAATTGACGATATCTCATAAGTGCCGCGTCAAATATATTTTCATAGTCAGTTGCTTCGTCTCCCATTACAAAGCATAATTCTTCCATATTTTCAGACAAATCTTTGCGATTTGGTTCAATGTCTTTGATTGTCAATTGTGCTCGTGTTTGCATATTATTCTTTATGTATTCTTCAATAACATCGAGCTGTTTGTTGAATAGTTTTATTTTGTTGAGGAAGCGATCGACGGTGTCATCCAATTTGTCTTTCAAAACTTTGTTTCGGATTACAAACCGTGAATACAGCGTTTTCGCCATTTTTGGTGGTGTCATAAAGCGTTCGTCATTCTCGTTTTCGTGTTTACTCGAATCAGACTCCGTACCATTGTCATTATCATCGCTTTCTTCGTGGTTTACTTGATTTTCAGCATCGTTGTCGTTTATTGCTTTGTTTGCGCTGACCTTTTGTATTGGCTCGCCCAATTTAAGCTGTACATTCGCGCAGAGATCATCGTAGTACAACTTAGCCTGGTTGAACTGCTGCTCCATAGAAATTCCACCTTCTTCGCCTTCTAAATTTGTCAGCTCTTCACTAGTTGCTCTATAGAGGTCCCATAAATCTTGCATCTTGGTTCCCCAGTGGATTAATCGGTCGCGTTTTTTTAGTCGACCTTTTGGCTCTTTCTTGTATGCAATATGCACTTTTTTTATGTCGTCAGCCAATTGGGACTGCTTTGCTACTAATTCGTCTTTGTTATTCATTTTCTGCAGATTTTTACACTTTCTCTTTCGCTGAGATGAAAAATGTAATTTTTGGTCGTATCAACTTGTATTACTTCAAAAAAAATATTCTCTTTTGTCGAGAAAATCACTGTTTGTTGAGCTCAATTGCTTGGATTTTATTTCAAAAAAATCTTCTCTTTGCCGAGAAAAAATCACTCTTTGTCGAGTTAACTTGCTTGAATTTTTACTTCAAAAAAAATCTTCTCTTTGCCGAGAAAAAAATCACTCTTTGTCGAGTTAACTTGCTTGAATTTTTACTGATCAGTTTAAATTGATTTTAACTTTGTCGTTAAATTTTACTCTATGTCGAGTACTTGCTTGTATTCTAAGTCTTTTCGAAGGACCAAAATGTTCACTCAAGTATTACTTAAATGAAACAGTAATTTTAATTGAATTAAGGTTTTAGCTTTATTACACTTGCTCATCACAAAATCAACTGCTCTTATTAACTAAATCTACCGCTTTTATATTCATTTAGAATTGACATGTTCATTAAAATATAAACAAGACGTGCACTTTAATCTAAATACAATTGAAAACTACAAGACGTGCACTTTAATCTAAATACAATTGAAATCGTGCAATTTAAACTGTTATTCATGGACATGCTGACGATAAAATATTATGTTGATGCACTAAAGTTGCCAAAATAATAAACATTTAATTTGATGCATCGACAACCCCGAAGTGAAGAAGGCACGTCTGTTTGCGCACTAGAAGTAGCTGTTATTATTGTTTCCGTTGCCGTAATTGGCACTGGGTTTTCAACCAATATTTGAGCAAGTGAACTTGCAACACTGGCTACTTCTGTTTCAGTTTTTGGAATTTTATCTATTGGAGGAGACTAGAGTGGTCCAAAAAAAAAAGTTGTCCCTCATCCGGAATGTTCAACCAGATTCGAAAAATATACCTCAAAAAAATAGGTTTTGTCTAAAAAAACGACATGGGTACCATACAAAATCATGAGGCAAGAATTATATGAAATTTTTCATGACAGCGATTTCGGAAGCCATTTTGGATCGCAACATTTCGACTAATTCCATTATTCCAACCAAATTTCGACAAAAAGTGTTGATGGGGTTTTGTTTGGCTTGTCAATATCTACAACTTTTACCAAGACATCAGCCCTTGAAAAGGCCTTCTGGGCCAGTTACAGTGTAGAATGACCGAAAAAATGGCAATTTTTCGGCATTTTTTGCATTTTTTGCTCTACTGGTCCCCCAGGTGGTAAACTTTTGTTCAGTTTTCGACTCGTATCGTGTAGCCAGAAGCTGTATGAACAATTTGGCACTTCTCAGATTGCAATTTGGATGGAATTTAGTGCCGATTGATTCACACATCTATGGGTGAGATCGAGAGTGGAGTAAGTATTTTTTGTCGACTTATTTTGAGAAAAAGAGGAGTATGTTTTCTGATGATTCTGTTGGCATTAAAGGAGAGTATGTTCTAGTACCGTCTAGCCTCCGCGGTCTTCACGGTTTTCGCGCAACTGATAGGAGATAACAACATGGTGTCTTGGGCAAAGTTGTAGTACTCGAGGTCCTCTATAACTTGACTGAAGACAGTTATCTCTTATCTCTTATCAGTTGCGCGCAAATCGCGCACATGAAAAAGCAAATTTTATATGGAACTTTTTTTTTCTTACCATTTTTCGCGCTTTTCGCGGAACTGATAAGAGATAAGAGATAACTGTTTTCAGCAATGTTATAGAAGATCTCGAGTACCACAACTTTGCCGAAGACACCATGTTGTTATCTCTTATCAGTTCCGCGGAAACCGTGAAAAACCGCGAGGACCCACCAAAAATGAACATACTCCCCTATACATTGCCATTTTTTCGGTCATTTTACACTGTAACTGGCCCAGAAGGCCTTTTCAAGGGCTGATGTCTTGGTAAAAGTTGTAGATATTGACAAGCCAAACAAAACCCCATCAACACTTTTTGTCGAAATTTGGTTGGAATAATGGAATTAGTCGAAATGTTGCGATCCAAAATGGCTTCCGAAATCGCTGTCATGAAAAATTTCATATAATTCTTGCCTCATGATTTTGTATGGTACCCATGTCGTTTTTTTAGACAAAACCTATTTTTTTTAGGTATATTTTTCGAAACTGGTTGAACATTCCGGATGAGGGACAACTTTTTTTTTTGGACCACTCTAGAGGAGACTCAAATAATGGATTTTTCATTTCCTCGGAAGATAAATTTATGAAATATTCTAAACCACCAAATGTCCTTTTTTCTCTACTAACAAGATCTTTGTCCTGTCCAATTACTTTTTTCTCTATTCCCTGCAATCTATTTAATTGATAAGTCTCTTTTTTCAATTCGTGTGAATTCTGCACTAAACGACGTTGAATACTATCAATTTGTTTTTCTCTATTTTCTTGTTCTCGTGTTTTCGAATTAGGATTATTTTCTTTGAATAATTTAACAAGACGCTTATCTAATAAATCACGCTCCTGCTTTAAAACATCTATTCTCTTTTCCGTTTGTTTCGAAGGCGATTTTCTATCAGCCATTAACAATATTCAGTAATTTTATCTAAATATTTTTTACCCTCAAATGACAAAATTGTACCATTTATGCAAGAAAAAATCATATGAAGTCTATTTTCAATTTTTTATCTGCTTTTTACCAAGTATATCTTATTTCGGAGAAAAGAGAACAAATTAAGGTTTACTCACTGTTTATTTGGTTTTTTGTTGTATCTAATGCCAAAAGTTTCTTATTTTTATTGATTCTATTCTATTGATCTCGTTGATTTTAGCCGCTTCAAAAAATGAAGATTTTATCCGTAAAAAGAATGCGCAATTCATACAAAATGAATCGCCTACCGCTGATATTTTTCCGTTATTTCCTCTTTTTTATTTCCAGATTTCAGCTCGTTTCCGTTGGATTTTCCCCAATTTTTAGCTACTCGCTTTTATTATTCCAATCACTTTTGTTCTTTAACACTTTTCACTTTTTCAAATACTTCAAATTCTTTCAAAAACTTCACAATTTTTTGTTTAAAAATTAATCGGAAACGCTGAACTTGCTCAAAATTTGATTTCTGTGCTCTTCGTAAAACGATATTTACACAATTTAATGCTCTTTTATTCACTTTCACAATTTAATTTTAACACTTTTCACTTGTTTTATTTCCAAAATTTACTTAATTTTTGATAGATTTATTTCTTAACCGAATGATTTTATTTATTTGTTCACTTTTATTCGTGTATTTATTTTATTCACTTTGTTTTCACTTTTCAATTTCAACCGTGGAATTCACAGAAAATTTCAATCGTTTTACTCAAAAATCAGACCAAAACTTTTCAATTTTTTCTTGTTTTTACGGCTTTTACACATGTAATAACTGGATTTTATTTTTGCTCGATGAGTTCTGGATTTTCGTCGATTTTACTTGCTCAGTAAAATATTATTTAAGGATTTCACTGCGATTTTTCTTTATTTTTCACCGAAGACAGAGTCTTGAACTACAGAAAAACACCAAATTTCTCGACAAAATTGTTAATTGACGAAAAAATGAATATTTCTCTTTTTATAATTCGTCGTTTTCTCTGCCAGAACTTTTGAACGCAGCGCCAGTTTTATAATGGTTTTATCTTATTATTTCTATAGAACAATAAAACCAAGTACAATGTGCCAAGTTCGAGTGGGTTTTTTATGAAAATAATTCTAAGTCTGAGATGAAAGCAAGATTGAATTGAATCGAGTGAGTTATACGCGCACAACACAAATTATTCTAAGTATTAATTCACTGAACACTTCTTAAAATAAATGTTAGTTTCACAAATGAAACGCAACACGATTTGCTCTAAGTTCTTTTTTAATTTCAATTCTTATTTACTAACACTTCACTTCTTATTTTCTAACACTTCTTATAATTAACACTTTTGAGCACGAGTATTCACTATTATTAACTAGAGCACTGAATCAACACTGAGCATAAGCCAAAGATTACAGTGCAACTTATTCTACTTATATAGGATTTTTCTATTCGTAATACACGTACTAATACATGAAAAAATGTCTAAGTATTCGTGTTCTATTTTTAGATTATTCTATTTTAAATCATAATCTATTTTTAGATTAAACGATTTCATAACTTTGCCGCTAATCATGTCCTAACATGTACGTACGCGTATAAACATCGCGCATTCATGTACTTTCCCGACTTAACTCGCACATGTGTGTATTACGCGTGATCTATAAATAGAAACATGTAGCGGTGAGCGCATGTGCATTTGGCTGTTATGCTTGTAGCCCGTTACGCATATAACATACTCGCGAGGAAGCTCGCTTGTTTGTTTACATTATTTCAAGCTCAACTGCATTAACATAATGTGTGTGCTTATTCTAACTGCACAAACATATTGTCCTACTGCGTAATCGATTTAAATGAGCATGTAAACAAAACGGTAAAATGAAACAACGGTAAAAACCATATTAGGAATTACGATAATACAGATGCATCAGTCAAATGCACAGCCGACCCACTAAACTGGCAAACTGAGTAAATTTCCTCAAAACACTCTCGATCTTGTTGATATGTACGGCATAAGTTGGTAGCCATACGACGTTACAGTACTCGAGATGAGACTGAACCAATGCGTAATACAACGTTTTGAGCGTTTGTACAACGCTCGAGTGTATCTCCCATTTTCAAAAAGGGGGCGAGATCGAAGATAGAGAACTACTGTTGCATTGCTAAGCTCCAAAC